GGGGTCCTGCTGGACCGCTGTGCTGCCTCTCGGGGACACTTTTAGGTTGTCGTGGGGCGACCTTGGGGGCCTCTTGGCATGCCTTAAGCACCCTGAAGGGCGAAACGGCGAGTACGTACAGCTAGCCTGGTGCAGGACCCACCCCCATGCAGTCGCGAGTGACGCGAGATATTGCTCCCTCCTTGTAGGTAGCGCGCCGCGTGAGGAATGAACTCTGAGGCAATGCGGATGCGGTCCACAAGTCGTTTGGGAACCTTGGCGGAGCCTCTGTACGGCCACGAAGCGTGTGAGTGGTGCTCCGAAGTGGGCGCGGCGGTGCCATTCGACCCTGCCTCTGGGGTCTGAGTGGGGCTCCCTATGGGGCCACGCAGCGCGTGACAGATGTGCCGAAGTCGTCGGGGCGGCGGCATGCGGACTTTGCCAGCTTGCCCATCGGTGGAGCGCCCGCATCCTGGAATCACGAAGCGTGCGAGAGCTGTGCCGCAACGGCCGAGGCGGCGGGCGTGCGGGCCTTGCCGTGGAGGCCCATCCGGGGAGCTCCCTGCTCGTTGGGCCACGAGCCGTTGGAGGAGCCTGTCGGCACAGCGGGGGCCGGGGCGGGCGGACCCCGCCACTTGAGGCCCTCGGCGGAGCTCCCCCGTGGGGCTACGGACCGCGCGCGGGGCATGCCGAAGCGGTCGGGGCGGTGGGGTGCGGCGCCTGCCGCTGTGGTTTTCGGTGCAGCTGCCCCTGGAGCTGCGACGTGCGAGGGGTGCGGCCGAAAGGGCCGGGGCGGCGGCATGCGGACCCTCGCATTGGGGCTGTGGAGGGCAATCCATGGAGAGGAAGCATTTTGCCAAGTAGTTTCCAGATGTCAAACATGTTTTAAACATGTGAAACACTTGTGTAAAACTTGCGCAAAACATGTTTATCACATTTTCAGACATTTCAAAACACATGCTAAATTCAATGATAGGACTGTAGGATGTCCCTGTCGTGGCATCCACAGCATTGGGGCCTTCGATGGAGCCCCCTTCTCGAGCCAAGAAGCGCGCGAGGGGCGTGCCTGCATGGTCGCGGCGAGGGCGGGCGGACTCTGCCGTGGACTTCGTCGGTGGGGCTCCCTACGGGGGGGGGGGCACGAAGCGTGTGTGGCTTGCGACGGAAAAGGCGCGCGGAATTTTGGGACAACGATGGGAATACGATTTGGCGAGCAGAGGTAGGAGGAGGAGGAGGAGGAGGAGGAGGAGGAGGAGGATCGTGCGGGCCAAATCCGTTCGCGACGCCCCGTGGATTCGCGCCGAGGGCCCCCTGGGCGCATCGGGCCGTCCCCGCGCCGAGCCAGGGAACAGCGTGCCCCCGTTGACGGGCTGCGTGTCCTCGCAATTTTTCGCACGAGCTGCTCTCCACACCGCAGCCTTGGAAGCGCCCAGCCGATCGCCGCGACGGCAGACACTGCTGCCACTGCCTCGGTTCTCGCACGACCTGGTCCCCGCACTGCAGCAGAGGCCGTGCACGGCCCCACGATCACCGTGGTATTCTCGCGCTGTGGCTGCACACTCGTCCCCCCGCGGCTCAGCACAGCTGTGGATGACATCGGGTGCGGTCATCCCCTCCCGCTTCCCCCAGGGTGGTGTCCGAGCCGCCTGCCCCGCTGCGTCTGCGCTGTAGCTTGTGGCTTCGGGCTTGCGCTTTGCCTCCCACCGTTCGAGGAGTAGCGCTGGAGCCTGCTGCGTCTGCCCGCCCTGATCGCGCACGCTTGACACGGCAGAGCAGACAATTTGGGTCCCAGCTTGGCCTCCCGCTGCTCAACCCTCGCTGCTCCGGGCGCAGACAGTGGCTGGTTTGGGCTCCAACTTCGCCCCCCGCTTCTCGCATGGGGTCTCGGTCTCCTCGCACGCCCTGGTCCCAAGCTTACAGGTGATGGTGTCGGGCTTTCCCTTCTCTTCGAGCAGCGCCCGAGCCTGCTGCACCTGTTCGCCTCCTCTCGCACGTCGCCAGGCCGCCGCTGGGATGGCATCGGGCTCGTCCTTCGCCGCCCCCTCGCTCGCGTCTCTGAGTGACGGGTCGTCGTCGCCGCGCTGTAGCTGGCGTCATCGAACCCGTCCATCGCCGTCCCATGGCCGTCGTGCCCGTAGCTTGCCGTCGTCGCAGCGTAGCCTGTGACGTCGGGCTCGGCCTTCGTCTTTGCCGCTCGTCCCTTGCCGTCGCCTGCGCTGTAGCTGACGGCATCGGGCTCGGACTTCGCCTCCCGCTGTTTGTAGATAGGCGGCTTGGGCTCCGGCTTCGCCTCCTGCTCCTCTCAGAGTGTAGGCAAAGCCTCCTGCCGCTGGCCGCCGTTCTCGCACTCCCCGGTGCCCACACTATGGTGGATGACATCGGGCTCTCGCTTCGGTGGTCTGCAACTGGTGGTCGCGTCGAAACCCATGGTAAGTAGCAGCAGGGTCCGTTGCCATTGCTGCCGCTGCTCCTCTGAGCTGCACGCTGTGGCTGATGACGTCGGGCGCTGTGTGGCTTGTGGCTGATGACGTCGGGCGCTGTGTGGCTTCCACGAGGTATGTGGAGCACGCCCTTGGGGCTGGCAACGCCGCACGCTTTGATGATGACGACGGGGGAGAGGGGCGGAGGGGCCGAGAGCGGGGGACAAGAGAGAGAGACGTCATCTGGCGCGCGTGGATCGGTGGGGCATGGTCTCGGCGCCGCAGCTGCGGACGTCTGGCTCCGCCTTTTTGACGGCTTGGCTCGCAGTAGCACTGCCCTCCCCGAGTTGGCTGGTGCACCCCGGGCCCCCGCCGAGAGAAAAGGCTGAGGAGGAGGAGGAGGAGGAGGAGGAGGAAAAAGAAGAATAAGAAAAGGGCGAGGTGAAGGAGGATGAGCAGAGGAGCAGAGGAGTGGAGCAGCATCGGGGGTGGGGGGAAAGGATGGGAGGAGGGACGAGCGGCACGATGGAGGGGCGGATGAGCGAAGAAGGAGAAGGAGGAGGCCGAAAAGGAGGACGTGGAGCGCGGCGCTGCAGGCTCAAAACGGGGACCCAACACAGAGGGTGGTTGGGAACCGAGACGAGGAGGATGAGGAGGCAGTGGAGGGAGGCCGGGGAGGACAAGATGAGGCGTACCGCCCAAGATCGGCCTCAGAGGGCGAGCACGAACCAAGATTCAGACCTCTCCGCGCACTGGGACCCCCAGGTGGCCAAGCAGGATTTTAAGAGTTCTTTGTTTATGTACAGTTGTTAGGAGGAGTGTGTTTAGACGGCCCAAACCGCCTTCGAGACACTCTAAGAGCGTTCGGCCGTGGCAACCGAAGAGAGTCCCAAGGGGCAAGATACCATTCGCTTGCCATCGGTTTGGGAAGGTTTTTGGCGTTCCCCCCTGCCCCTCTGCCGGCACACAATGCAATGACAAATAGGGCACCCCCCTGGGGCGTCCAATTTCGCCCCCGGGGGTCTGGGGGTCTTTTCGGACCTCTGGGAGGTTCCAATCGGCGCGGCGTCAGGAGTAGGCGAAGTCACAATATCCACTTGCCACCGGCGCTGGGAGACCACCGATATGGCCAAGACATACCCCAGATGGCCCAGCATGGCGCCCAAGCCGCCATGCACGCCAGCAAGACGGCCCAGGACGCGCCAAGAACGCTCAGTAGCTCCAAGAGGTCCGCGCGTTGTTGCTCGGAAGAGCAGCACTTCAGCATGCGGCAGGCCTCTGACACCGGGGCCGCGCGCCGGTACGCACAGGCACGCTGCCGCGTGCCCCGCTTGACCGTGGTGGGACCACAGCCGCGGGGTGGCGACGGCACCCGTCAATCTTCCGTGTCTGGTTGCGTGGGCCCGTGTGTGCTGTTGCCGTGCTGCTCTCTGGCTGGGTGGCAGCTGCGAAGCCACCGGGCGACCTTCGGCTGTCCCGAAGGCGGCCCGCGCGGGCGGCCCGTAAGAAGGCGGCCTTCGAAGCGGCGACCCCGAGTGCCGCTCTCGACGGCCTCCAGGCTGCCCCGAGGCGGCCTTGGGCTGCCAGGAAACCAGTTTCGCTACCGCGGTGTTCCACCTCGATCCCCGAGGATAGAGGGAAGCAGAAGGAGCAACTCCAAGAGGTTCCCGAGAGGTGAGCATCATGAATTTCCCATTGGTTTTGTGTTTTTTCGGTCGGCGCGGGCCCCCCACCCCCCCACCCCCCTTGGAGTGGATCTTGGCTGTTTTTGGTGCCTGTGTCCAACAGGCGGAGTCTCCCCCATAATGGCCGCACTGTCCCAAACAGCCGCACTGAGCAGAGGTCTGGAGCCAGACCCCCCCGCCCCCCCCCCTTCCGCCCAATGTCGAAACGCCGAATACAACAACGCTCACAATCCTTGGTAACATGCGACAGACGCGTGCTCCCGAGGCCAAGATGCCTCCCAAGGCGGCCCAGGATTGGCTCCAAGACTGCCAGCTGGGTCCTCAAGACGGCCCAAGATGCCTCTCAGACGGCCCCAAAGACGGCCCCAAATGGCCCCAAGACGGCCCAAGAGCCAAGAGGGCCTTTGCTCTATGCTTCCGGCGCACTCCGAGCGCCCGCGAGACGGCCCAGGAGGCCTTCGTAGGAGGCACCGGGCGTCCGATGGTCACAGGCCCGGGCAAGCGGAGGCCCGGGACGGCCTGGGAGGCCGATGGGCGGCCTGGGAGGAGGAGGAGGAGGAGGAGGAGAAGGAGGAAAAGGAGGAGGAGGAGGAGGAGGAGGAGGAGGAGGAGGAGGAGGAGAGAGAGAGAGAGGAGGAGAAGAGAGAAGAGAGGAGGAGAGGAGGAGGAGGAGGAGGGGGGAGGAGAAAGAGGAGAAGAGAGAAGAAGAGGAGGAGGAGGAGGAGGAGAGGAGGAGGAGGAGGAGGAGAGGAGGAGAGAGAGGAGGAGGAGGGGAGGAGGAGGAGGAAGAGGAGGAGGAGGAGGAGGAGGCATAGGCGGCCTGGGAGCGACTGTCTTCCGAGGCACCCGAGATGACCCCGAGGTGGCCCCAACGAGGACGCCGCCGCACGCCGCCCCCCCTTCAGCGAAGGGGCAGCGGGGCGGCTCTCTCCGTCGCCCCCCCGGGGGCCCGCGGCGGCGGCTTTTGCACGGAGCGCGTGGTACCACGGCCGTCGAGGGCCGTGACGGCACTCTGCTTCCTCCCGAAGTTCCCGTGGGGCCAACATTCGAAGAAGAAGAAGACGAAAAAGGAAGAAGAAACACACGATTCAGAATATTTTTAATAAGAAGGAAATAATAATAATACTAATAATAATAATAATAATAATGATAATACTAATGTTAATGATATTATTAATAATAACAATAATAATAATAATTTAATAATAATAAGACTACTACTAATAATAATAGTGGTAATAATAATAATACTAATAATCATAATAATAATCGTAACAATAATGATAATAATACTGAAGAAGAAGAAGCGGCATCAGCATCAACTTTCGGCGCTCCGCGCTGATGTCTCGGATCCGCGCCGGGGTCCCCTGGCGGCGCCCGCGGCGCCGCCCCTGGTGCGCTCCGCGCTCCAGGGAGGGGGTCCAGCGCAGATCCAAGAAGTCCGCGCGGAGCGCCAAAAGTGTACGTTCGTGCGGTTTTCTTCCTTCCTCTATACGTGGTACTGCGGGACCGCTCGCCCGCACGGCCGCGACAGGACTCATTTGATGTTGCGCTGCAGTGTTTCCCTTTTGCGTTCCTGACTCTCCCCGCGGTGTCTCTTTGTGCCTCTCTTGCTGTAGTGTCCGGGGTGCCCTTTTTGTGATTGCGCTTGTCAATCGTGCTCCCTGACAGTGTGGGACCACAGTTGTGTAGTGTTGTGACAACATCGATCACGCACTCTTCCTCTCCCATGGCCCAAAGCTTGCGGACAAGCTTCATTTTCATACCTAGTGCGTTGTGGATGTTCTTGGAAGGGGCGCCACAAGGCCGAGGCGCACTGGATATAGATGAAAATAGAGCCTCCAAGGGATAGACTGTTCATATCCTGTGCCCCTCGGGTTTCTGGGGAAGGGAGCCCGACACGCCAAGCTGCAATGGAGATGGACACAAGTCTTGCCCGCAAAGATATCCTCCTCCTCCTCCTCCTCCTCCTCCTCCTACTCCTCCTCTTCCTCGTCTTCCTCTTCCCTGGCGTCATGCTTGGCCTTCGAGTTTTTCGGCAGCGGTCCAGCAGCATCCCCAAGAAGTATTGGCGCGATTGGTCCCTGCGATACGGTTCCTCGCGAGAGAAATGACGTTCCAATGACATCCAAACAGATCCACCCGAAGAAGGCCCAAGAGGGCCCCAAAATGCCCCAATATGGCCACCGCGGTGAAGGCTGCGAGGAAATGGAATCGGAAGATCGCGCCACATCGCCAATGCATTGGCGATGCGCCTCGATGTGAAGCCCGATCGGCGTTGGGCGGCACGGCGGGCACCTGCAGTGTGAGGCCAGGATGCCTCTTCGACTGTCTTGGAGGCCTCTTGGGCGGTCTTGGGGCCCTCTTGGGTCGTTTTGGGGCCCTCTTGGAGGCATCTTGGACCATCCTGAGGCGGTCTTGGGGGCCTCTTGGCCTGTCTCGGGGCATCGGGAAGCTGACAAGGCGAGAACGCCGAAATCTTCAAAACAACCATACGGAAATCTATGATTTTTGCCACTTAGGGCCCTTTTGTGAGTGCGTGTAGCTGCCGGTTTCCCTCCCAGCGGACGGGCGTTGAGGCCTTCCCTCCCGGAGGCCAACAAGCATACACCGACACCGAACTCGCGGGGCTAGAATCATATGATTTCACATGGCGATCCACGGATGAGTTGCATCCAGCCAACGAGAATAACAAATAATCAGGAATGGGGCGAGTGACTGGAGGAGCAAAGGGCGATGTAAAGGACGGGGAGTCATACGTGCACCACAAGGGGCCAGAGGATGCGGACTTGGAAAGGGGGCCCCGAAAAGCATCCAACAGGGCCTCGAGGAGGCCCTTGTCTGCATGTTCCCGGCGCTGCGCTTCAGAAGGCCTCCTGGGGGCATCCGGGCGGGGCCCTCTCGGGGTCTTCTCGAGCCTTCTTGGAGCTACACCTAAGGCCTCCGAAGTTCTCGAGAGGAAGCCTGGGAGGACCCAGGAGCGGCTCAGAAGGAGACAATACGAAGTCATGCCAGAGGGCTTGACTTCATGTGGACTCCTATTGGGCCCCTCTTGGGACCCTTTGGGGCCCTCCGATCACTCCTCCCGGCGCCGTCTCAGCGGGTCCCAAGCGGGGGTCAGCGGAGTTAGAACAATTTCACGCGAGAGGGCAAGTGGGAAGTGCGTGGCTTCAGTATGGTTCTTCTTGGGCTCCTCTTGGGGCCTTCGAGTGTCGTCTTGGAGGATCCGAAACTCGAGACCCGGGAATCTGTCCGCGTACCGGAATTGGCAGGACATTTTCGCATGCTCTTTCAATCTCCGCCGGGGCCCCTCCATTGCCAGCACTGATTTGGGAAGCGATGTCGCATCTTCTCCCGCCCAGGACCACCTTGTAATTCACGAGCTCACCTCGGGGATTGCCTGCTCTACTCGGCCAGCCCTCCCGGCCCAGAAACTTTATTTCAAAATCGTGCGACCTGCAGTCGGGGCGCTGAAGAAGGAACCTTTTTCGTTGGGGAGGGGCTCGGTGTTCCTTGATTGTTTTAAAGTTTGCCTTGGGGTTTTCCTGAGGTCGTCTATGGGGAATCGAAGATTAACTTCTGGGAAAAAAAGGGGCCTCGCTCCTCATTTAGGGTTTCGTAGGTCAACGCCCCGACTGTACCCCGCCGGCCCCCTCCCGACAGCGCGCGAAAATCTCCCCACCCCTCCCACTCCCGTTGACCCAAGGCGGGGGGGCAAGCAGCCCCCCACTCGGAGAAGGGCCTCGCGCCCCGGGAAGAGTTCCACACTTCTCGTCTCCACGTCATCGTTGCCAAAGGAATGCCTGGGCGCACGAGTGAACGAGTGGTTCGCGCCAGCGCGGGAGACCCATCGAGCTTATTTTTGTTCTCGGCCACCAGCCCTGCCTTGAAGCCCCCCCGGGGCCTCTTGGGGGTTCTCGCAGGGCTCCTTCGGGCCCTTCGGCAAGCTTCGGGAGAGTTCCAAAAGAGGTTCGAGGGAACCCCAGGAGGCCCCTTTCCAGATGCTCGCAGAGAGCTCTCCGAAACGTAATATGCTGGGAGCTTCTAGGAGGGGCCTTCTTGGAGCCCTCTTGGGGCCCTCGTGGGGCCCTCTTGTGGCTTGTTTGTTGGATGCCCCGTGGGTGCTTCCTCTGGACCTTTCGGACGGCCTCGGGAGGGCTCCCCGAGAGAAGCCCGAGAGAGCCCCTCCTGAATGTAAGTCGGGCCTGTCCCTCTACAGGGGGAATACTCAAAAATAGTGCAACAATAGTCTGGGGATCCTTTTTTGAGTATCTTTGGGCATCTTTTGAGCATTTTGTCCCTGCAGGGGGACCGGCCCGACCTGATCCTAGGCCTCCAGGAAGCCCTCCGAACCGCAGCGCCGCGAGCAGCCAGGAGGGGGCCCGCTCGAGGCCCTCCTGGGGCCTCCTTGGGGCCCTCTGGGAGCCCTCTCGAGGCCGTCCCGGGGCCTCCCCGGGACCCGGGGCACGTGCGTTCCGCATCGTTTTCTGCACAGTTTTCTGGCCTTCGTTTTCCATCCAAGCTGTGCCGATGCGCCGTCTGGGCGCGGCTTCTTCCTGTCCTGTCCCGTCCAGGGCCTCCTCGGGACCTCGGGAGAGACTCGGGAGGGCGCCGAAGAGGCTCGAGAGGGCCCCAGGAGGCACGTTCGAGTTGTCACTTCCAGCGTTTGTGGAAGTGACAGTGCCCAGGGCCCTCCGGAGGCTTCTGGGGGGCCCTCCAGAGGCCATGTTAGTTAGTTACTCCAGGAACAAAACAAATATGATTTCTATTTTTATTTTAAAAATCATAATTTATTTTCAGAACAAATAACAAAATAATTAGCCTGGCGAAGGACCCAACCATGTGCAGCTGTGAGTACCGCAATAGTGAACATCTTCTTCGGTGCGGCGCCGCCATGCCAACGCAGCCACTGGGAGCTTCGGTGGAGCTCCCTATGGGGCCACGAAACGTGTGAGGGGTGTGCCGAAATGGGTGCGGCGCAGCCATGCGAACGCAGCCACTGGGGCCCTCGGTGGAACTCCCTATGGGGCCACGAAACGTGTGAGGGGTGTGCCGAAATGGGTGCGGTGCCGCCATGCGAACGCAGCCACTGGAGCCCTCGGTGGAGCTCCCTATGGGGCCACGAAACGTGTGAGGGGTGTGCCAAATTGAGTGCGGTGCCACCATGCGAACGCAGCCACTGGGGCCTTCGGTGGAGCTCCCAATGGGGCCACGAAGCGTGTGAGGGGTGTGCCTAATTGGGTGCGGCGCCGCCATGCGAACGCAGCCATTGGGGCCTTCGGTGGAGCTCCCTATGGGGCCACGAAGCGTGTGAGGGGTGTGCTGACATGGGTGCGGCGCCGCCATGCGAACGCAGCCACTGGGGCCTTCGGTGGAGCTCGCTATGGGGCCACGAAGCGTGTGAGGGGTGTGCCGAGATGGGCGCGGTGCCGCCATGCGAACGCAGCCACTGGAGCCCTCGGTGGAGCTCCCTATGAGGCCACGAAGCATGTGAGGGGTGTGCCAAAATAACCACGGTGCCGCAATGCGAACGCAGCCACTGGGGCCCTCGGTGGAGCTCCCTATGGGGCCACGAACCGTGTGAGGGGTGTGCCGAAATGGGCGCGGTGCCGCCATGCGAACGCAGCCACTGGGGCCCTCGGTGGGGCTCCCTATGGGGCCACGAACCGTGTGAGGGGTGTGCCGAAATGGGTGCGGTGCCGCCATGCGAACGCAGCCACGGGGGCCCTCGGTGGAGCTCCCTATGTGGCCACGAAACGTGTGAGGGGTGTGCCTAATTGGGTGCGGTGCCGCCATGCGAACGCAGCCACTGGGGCCTTCGGTAGAGCTTCCTATGGGGCCACGAAACGTGTGAGGGGTGTGCCGAAATGGGTGCGGCGCCGCCATGCGTACGCAGCCGCTGGGGCCCTCGGTGGAACTCCCTATGGGGCCACGAAACGTGTGAGGGGTGTGCCGAAATGGGTGCGGTGCCGCCATGCGAACGCAGCCACTGGAGCCCTCGGTGGAGCTCCCTATGGGGCCACGAAACGTGTGAGGGGTGTGCCAAATTGAGTGCGGTGCCACCATGCGAACGCAGCCATGGGGCCTTCGGTGGAGCTCCCTATGGGGCCACGAAGCGTGTGAGGGGTGTGCCTAATTGGGTGCGGCGCCGCCATGCGAACGCAGCCACTGGGGCCTTCGGTGGAGCTCCCTATGGGGCCACGAACCGTGTGAGGGGTGTGCCAACTTGGGTGCGGCGCCGCCATGCGAACGCAGCCACTGGGGCCTTCGGTGGAGCTCCCTATGGGGGCACGAAACGTGTGAGGGGTGTGCCAAATTGGGTGCGGCGCCGCCATGCGAACGCAGCCACTGGGGCCTTCGGTGGAGCTCCCTATGGGGCCACGAAGCGTGTGAGGGGTGTGCCGAAATGGGTGTGGCTGACGCGGAGGGGGAGGGGGGAGGAGGCGGAGGAGGAGGAAGGAAGGAAGGAGAGGAGAGGAGAGGAGACGCGGGGCACCGTCTCTTCAAAACGAGGACCCAACACCACAGGATGGTTGGGAATAACATACAAATGTTGGTCACTCCCAGGAGCGAGATCGTGCACCAGCTTCCGCAGGGGCGCCCCTTGCCCCTTGCCGCGGGTGCGAGGATTGGGGGAGGTGGCGCGACCTGGCGTTGCAAACCTTTGCTTGGTTCGCTCGCGCGCGCGCGCGAGCGAGCCCATGCGAGACAAGCTCTTTGTTTAGACCGTCTTTCTGTTATCGGTGTATACCAAGATCGGTGTATGTTTGATTTTTTCCTTTCTGGGTGTTTGTCAGTTCTCCGTATACACCAATCTTTCGGTTGGAGCGCGCATTCATTTTTTTTCACACGCGACCCACGTGGAAACGGCCGTCGTCAGCGCCAGGACTGGCCCTCGCCCAGCCCCCGCCCCATGGCAGGCTTGCAGAACCTTATGGGCA